GAGAGAGACCATGGCTGTTTTTGCGGCCTCGTACGCTTTCGTGCACGCCACTTACGCGAAGGACATCGAGCTCTGGGACTCGGTCAAGGCGGAGTTCGGTGCTTTCTTGGGGCTGTTGGTGTTCATGCAGAGCGACTGGTGGCTGCCGTGGAACACGGACGTCACCGCGTCGGATGCGTCCCCCGAGGGCTTCGGCATCGTGAGCTCGCGCTGGCCATCCCGTGTCGTGGCGAGTGTCGGGCGAGTCCGAGAGCGAGGTCGTTTCCGCCGCGGGGGGCCGGTCGCCCCCCGTGACTCCGCTATGACAGCCGCTGGGTTCGCGTTCGAGGACGGCGTCTGGCGGCCGCGCGCGGAGGAGGAGCTGGAGGAGGACTGGTCCATCGTGGAGGGCTTTCCCGAGGTGCCAGCCCGCCTCCTCCACCCTGAGGGTTGGCGAGTGTGCCGCGCTGGTACGTGGGGGCGCCAGGAGCACATCACTTTGCTGGAGGCGCGCGCGCTGCTGGCCTCTGCGCGGCGGCTGGCTCAGGTCGCCGTCGGCGGCAATCGCAGGCACCTCCACCTCTGCGACAACATGGGCGTCGTGCTGGCTGTGAGTCGGTGCCGGTGCCGGGACTTCATGCTGCTGACCGTCCTGCGCAAGCTCACTGGATTCTTGCTGGCTCGCAATATTAGGCTTCGCGTGGGGTGGGTTCCCAGCGAGCTCAACTTCGGTGACGAGCCGTCCCGTATCTTTTCAGAAAAAGCATCGTCGTCTCTTGCTTGGGTCATTCCCGACTTCGCGCGCCAGACGCCGCCGCCGCAGGCCCAAGCTGATGAGCGCCGGGCGGAAGCGCCAGCGGACCCTTGCCGCGCGGGCGCCGGCGCATGTGAGCGACCAGGGCGCGGGGCCGGCGTCTGGGAGGAGGCCGAGGACGCTGGCAGCGACGAGGCAGCGGCTGCAGAGCCGCGCAGCCGCGCAGAGAGGGCCTCTGAGGACGAGGCAGCTCTCGCCACGCGTGCCGCTAGAGGAGCTGCTGCTGCCGAGGCCGCCCCAGCGCCAGACCCTCGAGGAGTGGGCCAAGCAGGTCGTGCGCGAGGGGAGAGGCGACTACGTCGAGAAGCGCGGCACTCGGAGGCAGCGCACCTCGAGCTCCTCCAGCACTGGGCCCGCGTCCGAGGGCCTCGGTCGGGCCGCCCGCCGAGAGAGGGCGCTGGCCACGCGCTCGAAGCGGCGGCTCTGGAACTACCTCGAGGAGAAGTTCAGGGCCGAGGGCGACGGGATCACTCTGCTCGAGAAGCGGGCCGTCTCGGACAAGGTCCATCTCGAGTACACCTTCGAGGTGGCGGCCTTCGAGACCTTTGCAGCGGCGCGGGGCCTGAACGTGGAGCACGCCGAGGCCGACGCTGTGGACGCCGCTTTCGCGTCATACCTCGAGACGTGCTTCTTCAAGGGCTTGCAGCCGTCCACTGGGGCAAAGGCGCTGGCGGGCTGGATCCACCTCCACCCGGCCTACGGGCGCAGGGGCTCTCTGAAGCTACCCCGCGCCTGGAGGGCGCTGCAGGGCTGGTAGAAGCTGTGCCCGGGGCGCTCCCGCAGGCTGGAGGGGCTGGGCGTGTGGTTCGGGCTCGCGAACGCCATGTGCTATCTCAGCCGTCCTCGGATGGCCGTGTTCGTGATCATGGCCGTCTCGACCTACCTCAGGCCAGGCGCGTTGCTGACGGTGCAGGGCAGCGACCTGATCCCACCAGCGCTGGGCGTGACCCAGCACCCGGCGGTGCTCGTGCACCCGCAGGAGCGGCTGAGGCGCAGCAAGACTGGGGAGTCAGATGTGTCGATCCTGCTGGGCAGCGATTGGACGAAGGAGCTGAACCCGCTGTGGGAGCGTCTGCGAGCTGTGGCGGGAGGGGGGCCGCTGTGGGACTTCGACTACGGGAAGTACCTGCACACCTTCCGCCAGGCGGCTCAGCTGATCGGAACGCCCGACCTCGTGCCCTACCAGACGCGGCGCAGCGGGCCGAGCGTGGACAGAGCGCGAGGCTCGCGCTCCCTGTTGGAGGTGCAGAAGCGGGGTCAGTGGAAGTCGAACAAGAGCGTGGCTCGTTACGAGAAGCACGCCAGGCTGCCCGACTCTTTTCACCGCCACCCGGAGTGCGAGCTTCGCGGCGCGGAGATCGTCCTCCACGCGCGGCTCGTGCCTCTCCCATGTTCGGAGCGCAACTGATGCAGGACACTTACATTGCAGACGCCTTCGCGGGCCAGGGCGGAGTCGCCAGAGCCTTACGACGGCTCGGCTTCCAGGCACGGACCTGGGAGATCGCGCATGGAGAGCACGGCGACCTCACCTCTGCCCGCGTTTTAGGGGCGCTCCTCTCAGACGTTCGACGAGGTCGGTGTCTCGGGGCGACGATTGCGCCGCCATGCAGCAGTTTTAGTATTGCACGCATTCGCGCAGCGCCCATCCGATCTGCATCTCGACCGTGGGGGTTTTCAAGGAAGGAGGTCAGTTTAAAGGACTGGATGAAACTCAAGGAGGGTAACAAGTGTTGTAAAGCTTCTCTGGCAATAATTCGCGAGTGTAACGCCGTTGGTGCCCCGTGGATTCTCGAGAACCCATGCGCTAGCTATATGTTCAAAACCCGTGAGTTCCAGCGCCTGGCCTCCTCCCCCTCGGTGACGCCTCTGAGGATAGATTTCTGTCAGTTCGGCACTCCCTGGAAAAGCCCACCACCCTGCTGTGCGGAAACATCCCCGTCCAGGATCTCGAGGGGCTTTCGCGGCAGTGTCAGGGCACAAGCGGCGTTTGTAGCCGAACGGGATGCAAGCACATTATTCTGTCAGGCCCTGCTCCGAGTGGCCAACGGTGGACGCAGATAGCTCAGTCGTATCCACAGCAGCTCAATCGTGCGCTAGCCCGTGCTCTTGTGGCCCCTCTGCGAGCCAGATGTTTTCAAGCCTGAGTCACATCCACTGCTGTTTCGGGATGGGTTGGGACATCGTTCGAGCAGAGGCTCGCTGTGCGTCACAGTTTTGCTCGGCCTCTCTCTTGCAGTCTCATCGCGATGACTAAGCACTGTTCTCGAAGACAGATTTTCTCAGGCGCTCCGCCAGGAAAATAGAACAGGCTCGCCAGGGCTCAGTGGTTTGTATCTCGCCAGGCTCGCAGCCCCATAGGAGTGCGTGCACAGGCATGGGGAGGAGAGCAGCTTGTCGCCGCCCACGCTTTGTTCAGCATCTGCCCTTTGCTCCGCTCCACAGTCTTTTTGGCTCCCACCCGCGGCCACCCTTTCAATGTCTTATGTAGCAGGGACATATTTCGAGCAGAGGCTCGCTGTGCGTCACAGTTTTGCTCGGCCTCTCTCTTGCAGTCTCATCGCGATGACTAAGCACCTTTCTCGAAGACAGATTTTCTCAGGCGCCCCGCCAGGAAAATAGAACAGGCTCGCCAGGGCTCAGTGGTTTGTATCTCGCCAGGCTCGCAGCCCCATGGTGATGATGCTGATCTTGATGATCATGATGATGATGCCGATGATGATGATGATGATGATCATAATCATGATCATGTTCATGATCATGATGATGATCAGGTTGATGGTGGTTATGATGATGCTAACGAAATTGGCAGTGGAGGCGATGATGACGAGGGCGACGACGATGGCGACGACGATGACCAAGATCACCGTCATGATGACGATGTCAATGATGGCGCGGCGATGGAAGTAACGAAAGATCACGGAGAACTGCACACGAAGAACCCATAACAGAATTCGCACAGTAAGGACATATATCGATCATTCGTGATTCACCACTTCTATACTAGAATGCTCACAGCGCCATTGTTGTGTGATTGGTTCGACATGCGCGTTCGAGGGCGCACGTGCGCGTTTGGCCTGCATTGTATGGTCGAAGACGCATACTGCGAATCACCGCCGTCCCCTGTCTTTTTCGGAAGCGCCTATGTGGCCGAACATTGCGGCCAGAGCTCTGCTAAGCTGTCGGATTGCGTGTTCCCCAAGCCGTTGAGGAGACCTTTGGGGGAACACTTGGGGGAGAAAGAAGATAAGGAGGAGAGGGAGGAGGAGGAGGAGGAGGAGGAGGAGGAGGAGGAGGAGGAGGAGGAGGCCTCTTAGGAGTCTCTTGGGGCATTCTTGGTGCCTCCTGAGAACTTCCCGAGGGCTTCTGGGAGGCACCTTGAGGGTTTCTTCGGGCCTCTTGGGCGCCTTAGGAGGCTCCTCAGGAAGCTCTTTGGCCGTCTGAGGGCGCTCCTGGCCCGCCTGACGTTGTCGGATGCCGTCTTGGGGGCCTCCCTGGGCCGACATAGAGGGGCCTTCTTGGGGCGCTTCAGGGCCATCTTGGAGTCATCTTGGGCATCTTGGAGGTCTCTTGGGCTGTCTTGGGGCCATCTTGGGGTTCCTTGGGCCGTCAGGGGGCAATCTCGGAGGCCTCTTGGGCGCTCCTGGAGCCACATTGGTGGCCTTTGGAGCCGTCTTGGCCAGCAGGAAAGCCGAAATTGAGCAAACGCCGGAAGCCATCAAAAACCGATGGAAATCAATGATGTTGGCCTCGTCGGGGCTTCCTGGAGGTCCTCTTTGAGACCTCTTGGGCCGTTTTGGAGGCATCTTATGCGATCTTCAAGCCATCCTGGGCCATCTTGATGTCATGTGGAGCCTTGTTGAATCCATCTTGGGCCATCTTGGGCTCTCTTGAGGCCGCCTTGGCCGTCTTGGAAGTATATCGGACATGGGCAACCATGGCGCGCCATCCAGATCAGCTCATTTGTGTGTTTACCCACGTCTCCAGCAATTGGGCGTTGCTACCGCTTGGTTCCAAGCCCCAGATCCCGCACACATGTTTACATTGATCATTTGGCGTAGCATTTCTTCGTGAACATGTTCGGACATTGATTGAAGCCTGCGTGGTGGAGGGGTCGGAAGGGAAAAGGGGAGCTTCGCAGGAGTTTGTGGGACGTCCTTGAAATCTGTCTTTGTTTTTCCACCCACGTGCAGATTCCTCGCTGTGGCAGGTTCGTGTCCTGGTGTCTGGATTCACCCACGAGACGACCGAGGAGTTGCCGAGTGCATTTGTGGGAAGGGATTGAATAGAGCCCATGACAGAAGCATCTCAGCGCAGGTATTGCGGCACGGTGGCAGGACAGCCTCAAGACAGTGATGCAATGCCCCGCTTCACATCCCATGCGATAGTTGTGCCCAGCGAGCGGCATACATAGACACTGCATTGGGACATACTTGTTCGCGTAGCTGGGCTCTGCGGTTGTCGATGTTTCTTCTCTTCGCTCCCACGGTCGTGCCCCCGTGTCGGCACGGATGTCCAATGTCCGTGCCTTTTCCCCGCCAGTTTGCATACTTGCCATTATCACCCCACCTTCCTTCAATATGCAGGCCGCCACTTGCTTGTTCAGGATGAGATCATCACCGTGCTCAGCGCCCGTAGCTTAATCTTCTTCAGCCTTGCTCGGGCCCGTGCGCGCCGAGGGGTGCTTCGACGCCTGCTTGGCCGGATGGTGACGTCGGCGTAGGTTGGCCAGGCATCTGATTCCCGACGATTGTTTTCTCCAGACGGGGCTCGACAGCTATTTCCCCCCGTGGAGGGTGGGGCGCTCGGGACAAAAGCTTGTTCAGGACAAGATCTTCGAGCACTTCGAGGACCTGGGGGCCGTCTTCGTCAAGAAGACGACGGAGTCGACCTGCGTCGTGGAGTTCCCCCCCAGCGTGGATGCCCGCCACGTGGTGCAGCAGGCGCACAGGAGCCTCGGGCAGCAAGCCGCTGCGCAGAGGTTACATGTCGCCGATGGGGAGACCTCACATGGTGTGAGGAAACCATTCGTGGGCCAGTGGGTGTGCAGTTCTCCCTTCCTTCGGGGACGAAGGGCTGTATAAAGCAAGCTTTTCCACCGTTGGGGACGCCTGTCCCAGGGCGGCTGGAAAGTTTCTACCCTGACGTGCCGCCGTAGGGGTATAAATTTTCCAGCTACCCTGGGGCACGCGTCCCCGACGGTGGAAAAGTTTCTGTTCTACCATTCTTCCAATGCAGACGGGGGTCAGCCAGGGCGCCAGATCTTGCAGGATCCTGCCGAGCCAGGGGTGCACAGACCCGGGCTTGAGTGCAGGATCCTGCAGGATCCTGCCAGATCCTGCAAGGCCCGACTGACCCGCGTTTGGATTGACCCCGGTCAGTAGATCCCTGAGTGGGCCAGTGGGTGTGCAGTGTTCCCTTCCGACGTGGGCGCGCGCCAACAAGCGCAGCGGGCGGCCGCCTGCTGTTGCGTACTGTTGCGGTGGATGGGCGAGGCGCTGGGTGCGGCACTTGCCTCAAGCACGTGGCTTCCCTGGATGGGTTGGTCAACGGACGGGGGAGCAAGCCTCAGAGTTGGAAGTTGCAACACGGGTGGACGGCCCAGCGGGCGTATGCGGTCGACGTTTTCCTCGTTGATTCCTCTTTGCCATCGGTTTCGATGGGGGACAAGGGCAGTGCCGGTTGAGCGGCCGAGCTGTTTTAGACCCCGAGGGGAGGGGGGGTCAGACTTGAATCTGGAGGAGAGGGCTCGGGGCTCTCAGTTACTTTGCGGTGACGGAGCAGTCGGGTCGGAGCCCTTGGCCGCCGTGTTGCAGGATCAGGGTGGACCCACTGGCCCCCAAGGGCAGAGCCGTGTCCCCTGGAATCGATCCCGCGCCTCACAGGACAGCGTTGGACGGCAAGACTATCACGGTGACAGGGTTGTGGCGAGGGTATCTCGTCCCCTTGCTTGCGGTTCCTCGCCTTTTCCCTGACGCCCTCGTTCGCCGCTTCCCCCCGCGGCCCACCCTTTCCTGCCAGAGTCGAACGCCCCACGCCTTCATTGTGCGCTCTGTTCTGTTCTCTTCGTTTTCCCTCCGTGCTTCCTCCCCTCGTCCACTTTTCATCATGCCCCTCATCCTGTCCACGCAGCATCATCACCTCTACGCATCACCAGCTTGCTGCGCTGCACTATGCCTGTCTATGCCGTCCATGCCCTGCTAAGCGGATATTGCATCGATATTGTTCCAAAGAGAGCGATCCGCAGCGAGGTGAGATTTGACAATCGTGTGGGAGCTGGTGGCAAGGATCATGTTACATTGGGTGTTCCCGCCAAGTCTGTGAGAGTATTGGTGGAAGGTTTCTCAGGAAGCGTCACCAAGGAGGACCTTCTTGCTGCAGCAGTGGTGTTCCTTGTCGTGTCGTCATCCTCCCTCCAGATTGTCGCCCAGCTTTTGCGAGGGTGCATGCAGAACGGACTGTGAGGGGCGAGACCGGGTTAGGCGCATGCTGTTCGGCACGAGCCATTGAGTGAATTTCAGCCCATCCCGCCATCGGGCCTGCTTCGAAGACTAGAGGCCCAGGCCCTGTAGATACCTCCTTCGGATCTCTTGGGAGTTTTCGTGGAGACATGGCATCTTGGAGGCATCGTTGGGGCCACTTGGGAGCCTATTTTGCAGGTCTCTTAGGGCCTTCTGGTGGGGGCATCCTGGGGGCTTCTGGGGGCCGGCCTGCTGGCGGTCTCGGGGGTCATCTTGGGGTGGGGTCATCCACATGTGGGTTCAAACTCGCCCTTTGGGCCCCTACCGGAAGCCGTCTGTGGGGCCTCTTGGGCCCTCCTGGGGGCCCTTTTGGGCGGGTCTTGAGCGCCTCTTAGGTCGTGCTGGACGCGTCGACGATCGAAGAGGAAGACCGTACAAGCCCGATGATGCTGAGATGATCTGATCTTGTTGGGCCAGCCTCCAGGGCTTCCAGAGCAGCCCACAAGGCCCCCAAGAGGGCTCCAGCACGGACCTTCGGGACTATCTCGGGTCATGTTGTAGTTTGAGGCCCCCAGGCAAGCCCCCCTCGCCTCAGGAAAAGTCACGGGGTGGATCCACGAGAGCGCCCGGAAATCCTCGGAGCGCGGGCGTCCGTGCCCCCGAAGGAGCATTCACAATGTTCAGAGTCTTGGCATCGCTCGGAGGTGTGCATTTTTTCTCGGCGAGGACCACTGAGGAGCGTCCCCAGTCATCTTGCGAAAACGCAGACGCACGAAACCGACAAATGCACAGGGAGTGGACGTCCGAGCAATGGCGAGGAATTCGAAGGGACTTGAGGACACTCCATGCTGTGCCTCGGGGCGCGGAGTCGGATACTACGCTACGACGAGTGTTTTGGAAGTGACTTCTTCAAGAGGCCAGCGCAAGTACGTCAGGGCTCGTTTCGATTCCTCCAATGCGAATCGATCCGATTCCGATAGATCACGACTCCGATCCGATTCGACTTGGCATTCCGATTTGAATTCCGATTTCTCCATGGAGGCCTACTAGCTTGCCGAGTTCCGCCGATTCGACTTTTCCCGACTCGGCTGGCGTTTTCCGCCGATTCGATTAATTTCGATCGTTGATCTGACTCATCGATTCGATTCTGGTCTCGCCTGTACACTGGCACTTGGAGCGTGGAGCGTGTCTAATAGAGTTCCCCAAACGCAGTGGCAAGTGCAGTGCCCAGCATTCTGTTGACCAATGCGCTGGGCTCAACTGGAGTCCGAGAGTCGTAGCACAAGGCACTGAGCAGGTCCATCAGCGTGTCCGTGCGCAACCTAGGCACCGCACGCTACGCGCAGTGCGGAAACCGCCGCCCAAAGGCAGTGAGGCGTAGGAAGGGTAAGGGTGCCAGGGCCAAATTCGCCGCGCTATGAACCACGCTGCAGTTGGGCGCCCTACCCTCAGACCCCGTTCCACTTCCTTTGCCCGCCCGCTGCCCCGCCATTTTGTCGTCGTGCGCGCACCGCCTGACTGGTTATGCCAGCGGCCACCACACGGGCATGCCGCATCCTTTGCCTCCTGCATTGCAGCGCTGCCGTTCGCCCAGCCACACCACGAGTTACCTGCTGCCCTCCTCCCTGGCGGCGCCTCAGCCACCTTCGCCCCGCCCCTCGCTGGCGCTTTCTCCGTGGGCGTCGCTGGACGCTCCGTTTAACTTAGCCATGGGGTGCGCCCTGTCGCACCGCTTAGCCTCGCCACCTGGCGCGTTCGAGAGAGGGCCTCGCCCGCGAGGATGGAAGGAGTCATCGCTTCCTCGGCGGAAGGCGGCCAAGGGCAGCGGAAACTGGCGGAAGCAAAACGAGGCCGCCTCCGCTGGCGGCAGGCTTGCGGAAGCTGGCGGACCGTGAGATCCGACGCTGCTAGCAAAATTACGACCAGAGATCCAGACCCCATCTTTCGACGTCATTTTCGGGCCAGGCCGATCGGTGAGGGTCCAAGGTCCCGAAAAAGGGCGTAAACGGCCGGTGTGAAAAAATTGCAACGCCCAGACCTCAGGAGAAGTAAACATCAGCAATCCAAGAGATGTATTTTGGGAGAGGCCAGGGCTTCTGGAATCCGCCACCCGGCGCCCCCGCCTCTGCCTGGGGGCCCGCCGCTGGTTCCCGCTGCGGCGTCCCGCGGGGCACGGCTCCCACCGTGATTCAGCGGACGAAGAATGGTATTAGAAGATTTGTTCCTCCGTCGCGGACGCCTGCCCAGGGCAGCTGGAAAGTTTATACCCTACCTATACGACCACCCTTCGGGTGATAAGGAGGTTCGGGGGGGGGAGGAACCAACGTCTCACTCGATCGGTCTCACTATCGATCTCACTATCGATCTGAAACACTATCGGTCTCGCTCGATCGATCTCACTCGATCTATCTCACAATCGATCTCACTCGATCTATTTCATTCGATCGATCTCACAGTCGATCTGACTATCGATCTCACTATCGATCTCACTATCGATCTCACAATCGATCTCACAGTCGGTCTAACTATCGATCTCACTATCGCTATCACAATCGATATCACAACCAACGTCATCATCACCATCATCAACAACATACTCGCCAGCAACGTCATCAACATCATCATCATCATCAGCATCATCATCGGGACACCATCACCATCATCATCCTCATCATCACATCATCACCATCATCATCAACATCAACATCACCATCATCATCATCATTATCATCATCATCATCATCATCATCATCGGGACACCATCATCGGCACCATCATCTTCAACATCATCATCGGGTCACCATCATCAACATCGGAACACCACCACCATCACCATCATCATCATCTCATTATCATGATCATAAACAACATCAACAACATCATCATCAGCATCAGCATCATCATCATCATCGGGACACCATCACCATCATTAGCAACATCATCATCATCAACATCCTCATTACGGGAACACCATCATCATCGTCACCATCATCATCATCACCATCATCATCATCATCAACATCATCGGGACACCATCATCATCAACATCAGCATCATCACCATCATTGGGCCACCATCATCGAAATCATCATCATCACCTCATCATCATCATCATCATCATCATCATCATCATCATCATCGGGACACCATCATCGTCATCATCATCATTATCATCATCATCGGGACACCATCATCATCACCATCTTCATCATCAGCATCATTATCAACCTCATCATCATCACCATCGGGACACCATCATTATCATCAAATCATCTGATCATCATCAACATCATCAGGACCATCAACATCATCATCATCATCGGGGCACCATCATCATCATCAGCAACATTATCATCATCAACATCATCATCGGGGCACCATCATCATCACCACCATCACCGTCATCATCATGAACATCGTCAACATCATGATCATCATCATCATCATCAGACTCATCATCATCATCATCATCATCATCATCATCATCATCGGGACACCATCATCATCACCACCATCACCATCACCATCATCATCATCATCATCAGCATCATCATCATCATCATCGTCAACATCATCAATATCATCATCATCATCATCATCATCATCATTATCATCATTATCAACATCATCATTATCATCATCATCGGGACACCGACGGGACACTGGCGGGACACCGGCGGGACACCGCGCGCCACCGGCCCCCGAGCGGGACACAGGCGGGACACCGCGGGGCACCGGCCGCCCGGTCAAGGTTCTTTTGCCCCGGCCGCGCCTCAGCCACATTGGACACCAGCGGGACACCGGCGGGACACCGCGGGGCACCGGCCGTCCGGTCAAGGTTCTTTTGCTCGGGCCGCGCCTCAGCCACAGGAGACTTATTTCTCGCCCGCCCACGCAGCTTCGCCTCGCCCGCACGGCACGCACGAACACGAAACCGAAATCGATTTCCCGGTAGGGGGGCTCTCCGTTCCACTTCGATCTCACCCCCCAACCTCCGATGGCGGCACGTCAGGGTATAAACTTTCCAGCCGCCCTGAGACAGGCGTCTGCCACGGCGGGAAAGTTTATTTCATGCCGTCCTTCGGCCCCCACCGCGATGGCTCTCGCTCCTGTCTCGAACTTTCGGCCTGCCGGCCGTCGCAGGGCCGCCGATTTCCGTGCAGCGCCTGCGCGCCAGCGCGCCCAGCCGCCGAGAGAAGGCGTATGGAGTGCGGAAGCCTCAGCGTTAAGCACGCGCGACGCTTTTCGATGCACTACAGTCGAAGCCGATAGTAAGGATACAGTCGAGCATCTGATTAGCAAACCTTCCGAAAAGCTGGGCCAGCGTTTCTCAACCAACCTGCCGCAAAGCTGGCCCAGTTTCCTCAGCACGTTCGCCCCTCCAGCATTAATAGGTGAAATTGGCACAGGTTTTTGTTTAAAAGAGTTTCCGGGAAGTTGGCCCATATCTCTTAAGCTCTAGCGTTCTTGATCATATTTTCGGCTGTAGGTAGCCTTCCCGAGGGTACCCCTGCATCCTTGCCTCCTCGGTCCGTCCTTACTGTAACCCCTTTCGACGGCCAGCCCCTCTCGAAAATCTTCGACATGCGCGTCCAAGGGGCTCGCATCCTCACCGCGCATCCTTAATATTAGGTTTAACTGTAATGCCGGAGGAGCGTAAGACTCGAGTTCGCCGGTGCTCGAGTCCGCCGACGTTCTTTGATGTGCCGTCCTGGGTTTTGACGTTTCAGGTTTCGCGGGATATTTGCACCAGGAGTTCGCGTCAAAGTTCAGACTGGGTCTCGTCATTTTCTTGGTGGCCCCGGTCAGGCCAACCCGAGACCCCCCGAACCCGAGTTTTACGATTCCCCGATGATGGGAACGATGTAAAATTGAATGCAACAGCTGCGAGCGAGTTAGGCAGATACCCAAAC